ATTAAATTTAACTGTCATTTTTATGGCAACCTTGTTGTTTATTTGAAGATATTTTTAATACGGTACTTTAATTGTAATTCGCAGGAGTGAATGCAAAACAATGTAAATAATTCCAGCTAAGTAGTTTTGAACATAATAACCAGCCAGAAATTCTGCATTGTAAAATGACAGTTAAATTTAATGGTGTTGCGTGAATACAGTGAGATTAGATAAAATCTTAAAAGTGCTCTGAAGACCACATTGTGAAAGGGGCTTTGCTATTTTCCTCTGTGGAAAACAACTCTATTTAATGCCATGGGGTTAATTCTATATTTTCACTCTTTCCTCTTTTCATCAATAATTTGCCCTGTATGCACATGTGCTAAGAAGTTACAATTTGGCTTTTCCCAACTACATAAAGATTTCATTCTCTCTCTTAAGGAAACACTTTTTCTACATCTGAAAATTGCAACTTATAGTAGGTGCAATGCGGCCATTTCCTACACACATATAAGGATAAAGTGAACGTTCCCATGATTTGGGAGAGGAGTGAAACCAAAACTAGGTTTGTTATTGTCTAAGGGTTTAAAGTGACATTCTGATGTAGACAAGAATAAAGTGACTGATTGCTGCAAAAACAACATGCAAGTTTTAAATCAATTTTCTTTCCCTTTATAGATTTCAAAAGAAAATGATCACATGGCAGGCAGGTCTCCCAAGAATGAACAAGAATAGTATTTGAATTACTGGTTTGAATTACCCCTCTAAAGTTTAAAGTCCTGAGACTAGAGTTTTGAGCTCATTCTCTACAACATGCACATTAGACATTCCTCAGAGCCAAACCATCCTCAATAGAGGTTCATTCAGCTTCTGCTTTAATGTCACGAAGAGAAATTCCACAACTTCCCCAAGGCAACTGTTCAACCAGCCAACTGCTACTACTTTTTTGACAGCCACCCTGTCCCTCCTCCTACTCCCAACACTTTCACTGTGTCAGTTAAATCACTCCCAATTACTCTTCCTTCTGCATTTGCATAAGCCTAGGCTACTTCTGTGCTGACCTAGACTGGAATGTCAAGTGGGTCCTGCAAAACCAGCCCAGCTGCCGAGGCAATCGCTTGGAGCAGCAGTAATTTTGTGGGTGCAACTAAGGCTTTGTTCCATCCAAGTGGAATGTCCTAGGATGAGAGATGAGGGCATGAACTTTTGGGTCATGCAGTGCAGCTGTTTCAAAGTATGGCAAATAGCTGTGGGTCAGAGCTATACAAAATCATTTCTCCCAGCCCTGTTTTTGCTATTGTTGATGGTTTAATAACAAGGATAGGTGCAAGCTAATTTCTCCCGCACAGTTCCCCCAAAGCACTACAGGCACACAGATTAAAACCAACCAGTTTTGACATTTCTTTCTAGATTCAGGTCTGAATCTAAAGGTAACGGTTCCCCTAAACACATATGTGCTAGTCGTTCCTGCCTCTAGAGGGCAGTGCTCATCCCCATTTCAAAGCCAAAGAGCCAGCGCTGTCTGAAGACGTCTCCGTGGTCATGTGGCCAGACTGACTAAATGTCAAAGACGCATGGAACACTGTTACCTTCCCACCAAAGGTGGTTCCTATTTTTCTCCGTTTCAAAGTTGAAGAGCCAGCACTGTCTGAAGACATCTCCGTGGTCATATGGCCGGCATGACTAAATGCCGAAGGTAAACAGAACGCTGATACCTTCCCACCAAAGGTGTACCTTATTTTTCTATTTGCATTTTTACATGCTTTTGAATTGCTAGGTTGGCAGAAGGTGGGACAAGTAACAGGAGCTCACTCCGTTAAGTGCCGCTAGGGATTCAAACCACCAAACTGCCGACCTTTCTGATCAACAAGCTCAGCCACAGTCTTAGCCACTGAGCCACAGCGTCCCTTGAATCTAAAAAAGTACTCAAATAAATTCTATAATCAATATGGATGTAATACGCCATACTGTTAGAATCAGCAGCGACAAGAAAGAGTTGCAGAGGGAGTTCAAAATACTTTCAAGAGGTTTCTTTTGACATCCTTTGCAGACAAAAGAATGTTTCTCCACCTTAGCAACTTTTAAGATTTGCGGACTTCAACCTCCAGAATTCCTCAGCCAGCATGGAGAGCTGGAATTCATGCATCCTAAAGTTGCCAAGATTGAGAAGGACTGATCTAGAAAGAGGCGTCCCATGTTCTTTTCAGCTGTGCGAAATATGAAGTGCAATGCGGATACTCTCCCAACCCTCCACAAGCAGCTGAGTCAATAAAGCAGCTTAAAGCAAGGAAAAAAGACCTTGCATCAGCAAGCCCATGTCGTACAATGGCCAGTCAGACCAGCAACCTTTTGTGAGTTACTCTCTGGTTTCCAATAGCTCTGTGTGTGTGGCTTTTTAAGTATTTGTTAACCGGTTCCTATGGGGATCCCATTAAAGACGCTCAGTAATCCTGTGAATTTTTTGTTTTGATCAACAATAATTTCCTACAACAGCTTTCCAAGAGCAACACTTATGGAGCAGGACAAACAGCTGGCTAAGCTCAGAAGCAATGAGATAAAATGATGTCAACATTCTTCAGATAAACATTTTATCATATTTAACACAATTAAAAATATGAATGCATAGACATGCAATCCTATCACATGAACTATTTGATCCAGTAGCCACTTTTGGGTGTGATTTCAGGGGCCTCTCTCAAGACGTCTGGGTGCGGCTTTAGAGTCACATGCATCCTTGGGTATTCAGATTATGTGTGAACCTCTGCTTTAAAGAAATTAGTAAAGAGTGGTGCACAAGTTTGTCTACTCTGTATCTCTACCCTGTTGCCTAGAATTTAATCCAATTTTCTGCTGGCAAATACAGACAACAGACAGTATGTTCCTCTCCCAAAGGTCTGTTAGTCTACATGTTACTTCATACACTCCTTTGTTCCTAGCACAGATTGCTCTGCTTGCATCACAGACAATTCAAGCCTAAAGTCCTTTGGTGCTTAGCCAAGCCTGGGTGCAACCCATTCTAAAGAGTTCCCAGAGAGCTCTATGTGCATTAGACACCCTGAGATCCTCCCTTTAATGGATCCATTAAAGGGAGGCTAAAACATATAAAGCACGGGTGTCAAACTCGATCGTGTCATGTGACATTTTTTGCTTTTGCAGAGCGGGGTGGGTGGGCATGGTCTGCCTGTGACGCATCCAGCCCGTAGGCCGCCAGTTTCATGCCCCTAGTATAAAGAATGGTTGCTGGAATTGGGTATGTCTAGTTCAATGAAAAGAAGGATTAGGGGGTGACATGAAAGCAGTGCTCCAGTATCTCAGGTGTTGCCACAAAGAAGAGAGAGTCAAGCTATTCTCCAAAGCACTTGAAGGCAGGAGAAAGAAGCAGTAGATGGAAACTAATCAAGGAGAGAAGCAACCTAGAACTAAGGAGAAATTTCCTAACAGTGAGAGCAATCAATCAATAAAACAACTTGCCTCCAGAAGTTGTAAGAGATTTGAAATGGTACAGGGCAGTGATGGCAAACCTTTTTGGCACCGTGTGTGTGCGTGTACCAGAAACCCGACGACCAGCTGGCTGGTGTGCATGCGCGTATGGGAAACCTGGTGACCAGCTGGCTGAGCTGGGGCAACAGTGCGCATGTCCACACAGAGGGCTCTGCTTGCCACCTCTGGCATGTATGCCATAGGCTCACCATCACGGGTATAGGGTTTTCTGCCTGAGCAGAGGCTTGGACTAGAAGAACTCCAAGGTCCCTTACAACTCTGTTATTCTATTAAGCTCTCGGAATCAACAGCTGCCTGCAACAGCTATTATAACTTCATTTATAAGTCTACTGCTATTGCTATTTAACTTTACTATTTCTTGCCAATTTATCACCTTTTGGAAGTATGAAAGTCAAACTCTATATTGTTTCTTACTGATGGTGATAAAACACATTTTTGGAATCTCAATATTTTAGTTGTGTATGAAATGCTGCACAACTATTTCAATTTTTGCCTTTGCATAAATCCAACTACATTTGGAATACTGTATGTATCTTGATGCAACTTAGAAAGGAAATTTGAAAAAAAAATGTAGAAAACTGATAATATGTTGGAAATTCCATGTACCTTTAGAAATATATGGCAGTGGCCATCAGTAATATGACATTAAAATTCATTTAATAACACTGTTAGTGCATGCTCTTTAAATCTAATCAGAAAAGAAGAAAACCAGGAGACAAACATCTGTTTGTTGACTATGGGGATCTAGTTGATCTAATTAAGGTCTGTGATCTGCCCAGAAATGTGCAGTCTAGCAGTTGAGAGACTAGAAGTGAGCCAGACTAAAAATGCAGAATCTCATTGGATAACTACTGTATCTCTCAATCCAGATTATCTCACAGGGATAGGGAAACTGGCAGGAAAGATGAGATATTGATTTAACAAAGCAGTCAATCAAAACTTTTTAACACCGTTCCCACTCTACAGCATCACTTTTTGTTTACAGACCAAAATTAATCATCTGGAACCAAAGTTAAAACTCAAACAGTTGCACCCACCAACATGATCCATTTTCTTCAATTACTTGTTTGACTTTTACTTTGGTTTTAAAGAGTTATCTCCTGAATTATTATTTCATTATTACTGACATTAGACAAACAACCATCCAATTAATGAACCTAGAAACAAGTCTCAGTTATGTAGAAAGTCTTCAGAAAAAGTTCTTTTCTACACAAAATTGTCTTCTAGGTGGAGAGGGGAAGGTAGGAAGCTGTTACATTTGAACCTGTTCCCCAGCATGTACATCATCTGCCATGATAATCAGACATGAATTGCTATGTTCTACTGCACAATTCTGCAATTCTATTAAGATTTCTAAATCCTACTTTTCGTTCCGCCAGCACAATTGTATTAAAGACCTACCGGTATCTCATTTTGACCTTGTCGTTGTCTGGATTGCAGTAGAGTCTCTCCAGATGCTCCTGGGAGTCGGTAGTTACACTTTGCCACGCCTGCGTAGCGGTTTTCCTGGCTTGCCAGTGATATGGCAGGACAGTGTGATGCTTGGGGCAATCGCTGCCATATACGCACATGCCTTGAAGAAAGTGCACACAGACCTCAATCCCATCCTTCTGGTGGGTGTGATATTGCAACTGATTCAAAAGTTCAAAGACCAGGTCAAGGGAAGCGTCTTCACTTTTGTTCTGGAAAAGACCAGCTCCAAACTTATCACCTTGATTCCCATTACACTGGAGCAGGCACTGGTTGTTACTTGGGGATATCCCAGATGGGCAACCTTCAAGTATCTTGCCAGGGTATGCAAGGAGGGCAGCAGCATTAGAGGCAGCATGCAAGCAGCTATCTTGGAATGGCTCATTAGCAGGAGAGGTAATGGATGGGAAGCTCTGCTCCTGTGGCTGGACCTCCTCTTCAAGATGTTCATCAGATATTTGTCCCTGAACTGCTGGAGCTCCTGGCACTAAGGCGTTGCTATCTGGTTGTGGGCACGGCGCTGCAATTCCCAAGTTCTTTTTTGCAACAGATTCACACAAGTTACTATGGCTACTATTCTGTCCCCTGGGCACGAAAATTCCATCCAAGGTGCCCGTGCCAAGCAAGCTGGTGAAGATTGGCCGCAGAGCCCTCAGTGCTTCTGAATCCAGCCTTTTCTGTATCTGTTGCTTCTTCTTAAAGCAGGGCTTGATTGGTGGTATCTTTTCGGGAACACTTGCAGGTGGAGGAAACGCCTCTGGAGGGTCAGGGGGCTGGGTTTCCTGACAGGCAGCTGGCTGGACTTCACACTCCATTTCGGTTTCCATTGGGGGTTTTGTGCCTGCTGGGCCCACCCTGTTCAGAATTACTTTCCAAGTCCTAAAAGACCTACAGGTAAACAAAATAAAACTGTTATTATAGAACAGAGGTCTTAAAACTTGGCAACTTTTAAGACTTGTGGATTTCAACTCTCAGAATTCTCCAGCCAGAATTCTGGGAGTTGGAAGTCCACAAGTCTTAAAGTTGCCAAGTTTGGGAACCCCTGTTATAGAAGGAGAGTTGTGTCACATCTATGGTGTCCACTTCGGCAACACTTAACACATTTTATTGACTCATCAAGAGATGAAAGTTAGTAAAGATGCTTGCAACTAGGTTCCCAATATAAAAAGGTAGTTAATCCTCTTGCCAATTCTTGAGGCTGGACACAAAGCCTGAAACTAATTAAAAACCGAAGATCTAGCCTAGGACCCAATTAACCCCAATAAACATATTCAAGTTTCCCTGAATCCACAAATAGTCCAGTTCTGAAAAAGGCAATAAAACTACCTCCCCCCACCCATCCCCCCACCATTTCCCTATTTACTTACCCAGGACAGATTGTCCTGGATTCTTAACATCTTAACATCCCCTTGGATGTGTTCGTGACCCGTCAAAAGCGCGAACGTCATAAGCGCACCGACAACACCGCGGTGCTAAAACCGCGATTTCAAAAGCGCGCCGACAACAGCGCGATTTCATTTAAGGTAAGATTTACAGTTAGGTTTTAGGGTTAGGTTTAGGGTTACGTTACAGCGTGCTTCTGTCGACGCGCTTTTGTCGGCGCGCTTTAGGGCTAATTAGTCGCTAATTCGTTGCATGGTTTTGTCACCGCGCTTTACACACCGCGGTTTAGTCAGGCACGCTTTTGTTGTGCGCGCATTTGTGGTGGAACCGGATGTGTTCACTGTTTTCTTTCCTTCTCCTGATTTTTCACTGATTAATGAAGATTAAGGACAAGCATCCCTGCACCAATTGGTCATCCCAACAACAGGAAAAGATTCATTTTCCTTCCACGGATGACCTTGCAAGTTGCCACATTCAGAATTAATGACTAGCAGCATGTGGGAATGTGAAACTCTTTTCAAGAGGTTCTTTTGAAAGAGACCTTGTGCTCAGTGGCTTCGGAACTGCCAATTGTTCCTCCCTCCACGCTTCCGGGACAGTTTCGTATTCCCACATACTGCCAGTCATTCTGTCTGAATCACATTCCACAAACCTTGGCTGTTTCTGGCTAAATGACACCGCAAATAAACATGCTGCCACCCAGAGGCCAAGCCGAATACTGCAGTCGCAGAAAGAAAAGGCAAAACAGCAGCTGCACACACACACACAAAAATTAAAGTTTGAAAATGTTCTCTTCTAACAAGAGCCTGGGGAGGGAGTTAAAATGCTTACAAGGGAGGTGGGGGTAGAAGATCTTTTGAATTGCTTCTCTGGCTTTCTAAATAAGCAGTACAAAGACTGTAGCTAGGAGCAAGAAGAAACTGGATGCAAGAGTAAGTGCAAAATGTTAAGAAACATTCTCCTGCATTTTTCCCACCAGGCCTTTCTCAATTTTACAAAAGCGAATTTGCATGAACATTTGCTTTGCACAGAACAGAATTTCAGTTAAACTCTCATGGGTGGAGTATTCTTCCACTTCCTTAATTACAAGGTGGCCTAGAGTGCTGCCTTGCCTGTCATCTTTCCAGCAGCCAACAGCTCTTGTCTCAGATTTTACAAGTGTCAATTAAATCCCCAAGGAATTCTTCCTGCTGGGATGTTCAGACTGGGGACATGTGGGCAGCCAGGCAGGTTTCAAAAGGTTAGAGAATTACACCATTAAAAAAAAAGGTTACCACTGCTAGCTCTACTGTATTATCATCATCAATCATCTCCACAGAGGAAACAACACACTCTGCTAAAATTCAAAAGAAAATTCATAGGCCTCTTGTAAGATAGAAAAAGAGGAGCCACTTTTGCTGGGAAAGAAATCCTGAGAAAATGCAAGGCAGATTTGGGTATGATATGAATACTGAATCCAGCAAACCAGTAAAGGCTCCAGATTTCTTTGTGCCAGTACAGAAAAGATGCATCCCTTAAGACACAGAACTGTGGCAGGTAACCTACAAATGACTTTATTGGCCATCCCATTCTACTGCCAGGACAGTCAGACAGACATTTTATTCCTGTATCTTGTGGGGACTAGAAACCTTTATAAGCTTGTTTACAGGGTTGTTTTTAATTTCATCTAATGGATGCTTTAAAGTTTTAGCTTCTGCAAACAAAACAACCCACCTATTTCCTGGATCACCCATTTTCACCAACCCAAGATTTTTATAAATGCCCTAAAATGAACCTTTCCATCTTATCATTAGTACAGGTTACACCTGCTTTATGCAGTCATAAAAAAATTCAAATCATGACACATTTCCCTTATATCAGAGCAATTTCCATAAGGAAAAACAGTATGAAGGGTTATCTATCCCCTGGACCAAATAGTTCCGGAGAGGTTGCCAACCAATTTACTCTCCGTGCAAACCTTCGGGTGTCTAGCAAGTTCATGCAGCACCCAAGGATTACTCAGATGGATGAGTCCCCTTTCCTGTTCACCAGCTCCTGACACAGAGCGCTTCATTCATTACACTTCCTGAAGTTTTACAATTCCAGGATTATGCACCATCATTAAAAGGCGTCCCCTCCCCGTTATTTTGTCTACGAGGGATCTCATTGCAAGGAGATCAATTATTCAAGAGCGAAGAGGCTGCTCCTCTCGCCTAACACAGATCCCAAGCGTCGAAACGACGGTGGGCAAACCGTTTGGCTTGCCTTCTTTTTCTAAGCATTGTTTTTAATTGTGGGATTCTCTAATCCAGATTTGTCCCTGCGCCGAAAGGTCCAGATTATTCGACCCGCATTAATTAACATACCATTGTCGCGTTCCTGCCAAAGCAACCGAAGGGGATTCCGAGGCTCCTGGTTTCTGGAAGGCGCTAAATCTCATTCACTTCTACGGGGTTTTTTCCCCACCCCTAGCGCTTTCTCTGAGTGTGGGACGGAAGCCCACTTTCAGACAAGCGTATTAAAACTTTTTTTTCTCTCTCTCTCTCTGGCCCCGGTTGCTTCCT